AGAGAGAGAGAGAGAGAGAGAGAGAGAGAGAGAGAGAGAGAGAGAGAGAGAGAGAGAGAAGATTGGTGTTGGAGCCGAAGAAGAAGGTGGCGGCCATAGCTGCGAAGTTCGGACCTTGTGAAGAAGAAGAAGGTCGGGAGTGAGGAAGAAGAGAGAAGGGAGAAGGAGAGAGAGAGACAGTTGGCAAAGGAGAAGGGTCGACAACCATAGCCGAAGGTTGGAGCGTTGACTGGGAAGGTTGACCGGGGGGGATTTGACCAAGTTGACCGACCACTGACCAGCGTTGACCTGAGGCCGTTGACCACGATTTTGACCAATTTGAAGTCGGTATAACCCCTTGGTGGTTGCCGAGTCTGTCAGTCTCTTCTTTTTGCATTGAGTCAGGTGATAGGACTCCGTGCATGTGGTCATAGAGTTGTGCTGACCAAACCTACACGGGCTGAGTAGGGCTTAAGTCCATGTCTGACGACTGACACATCCAGGAGGCCTAACCCTCCCAAGGACCGGTACAGACCGACGGACTGCTCAGTGTGGCATGGTAGGCCCAAAATCCGAGTTGTGGGTTGCACAACCAGCTATCTAAGTCTTGAGATAGCTCTGCTGATCACGTCGTCTTGACTGCAACGTTAAAGAATTCTTGAGGAGTTATGGGGGATCTACTTAAATGCCTTTTGATCAGCAAAAAAGTTTTGTAGTGACAGGCTAGAAGTAGGTCCAAGCTAGAGACCCGAGTTGTCAGGATCTATTCCAGAAAGAAAGCCAGGTGGGATTGGTTGCTGGTGCATGGTGCACTGGGATTTGGAAAGTTTCGGTGACAGTGGCGGCGAAAGCTTCCGTCGGCTGTGGTAACCTGGTTGGATCAAAGGAGATTCTGTGGTCCATAGAGAGTCAATCAGTCAGTGGGTGGAGACTCTAAGTGGTGAGTAGTGGAACCTTAACTGGTTGTGCATCCTCCACCATGGTGACCACGCGAGGAGGAACGAGTACCACCCCCTATAGCAAAGAGCAAGAAGAGCAAGTCGTCGCCCTGTTGAAAGAGAGAAAAGAGAAGATGGAGAAGAAAGAGCTCATAAAGCAGGCGAAGATGCTGGCCTTGATAGAGGAACACAAGGCCAAGCAAAAGCAGATGGAAGAAGAGATGGAGAAGTGGAAGAAAGAGAAGGAGGAGAAAGTGGCAGCGATAGAAGCTGAAGCAGAGGTAGAAGTAGAGAAACAAGAAGGAGAAGCAGTAGAGGTTCCCCTTCAAAGGAATGTAAGAAGGGAAGAAAGAGGGGAGCCCAGTATGGCGCCAACAAAAATGGAGAAGATGGTGACAAAGTGGGTGGCCAATCTGGCCCGGGGAGGAAGAGGAAGCATCCTTGCTTGTCCCTCAGGCAGAGAGGGAGCCGTTCGCAAGGGAGTTGGAAGCAGAGGAAAACCCCTTGCAGCGATAAACCATGGAGGAGGAGAAAAAGTTGTAATGGAAGTTGCGCCTTACTAGGGAAAGGAGGAGGCAACTGGCGGCGACCGAGATGATGGAGAAGGACTTGAGGACCGCCGAAGAGAAAAGGGGGCAATTGGCAGCACAGGTAGACCTCGAGCAGCAGATACAAATTTTGTCCCAGAATATGGAGGTAGTATTGCGAGCCCAACATGAACAATTGTGTTACCACGATATTGCCTTGTAGTCCACGCGCATAGGTTTTAAGGATTTTGCAAGAGATATGATGATGCGCGTTGGCACTCAGTTACACTCTGTTATGGAAGGCACTGAGAGGTTTTGCGTAGGCGCCATAAAAGGCACCAAGTTAGCGGCTCCTAAGGAAGAGGAGGGGCGGCCACGAAGAGAGCGCGTTAAAGTCAAGTTCCCGGATCCCTATAGCGGGGAAAAGGGTGAGAACTTTGATAATTGGGAGACCAATATTAACTCCTACGTGCATTTGCAAAACGTTGCGCCCGAAGATCATGTA